AGGTGCGCGGAGAGATACTTAGGTAGGTGGATGTTTACACAGCAGAACAAGCTTCTAATGCTCGGACGTACGTATATCGCTTGCTGGAGACATCGAGCGACTACACTATTTAGTACCCGTGTGTGCACACTTGTAACAGAAAAGTCGATTTTTTTATGTCTTCGTAATGATATAGGTCAACACAGTACGTGCACTTGTTACATTTATATTGTTTGTATTCCAACAATACCTGTTCAGTGTTTGTTTGTTAAACTGTTAACGGTTCCATGATGCTGATATATTATATTTCTTGGTAACTGTCATTGTAGGATTACTGAAGTCAAATACAAATATTCTAATTCAAATAAGTTTTCTATTGGCACTCGTAACAAATTTGGATTTAAGAGTCGCTCAAAAAGAGAGGTGTTGTAAAAACAAAAGTGAAAATTGGAGGCGTAATAGGAGGCATAAAATAACAGTAAGAAGCTACAGTTGACGGTAATTCATAAGGTAAGTACAGTGTGCAGTAAGCTTAGTTATCTATCTTATTACCTGTAAATAGATACTTCCTCGACTAAATCGTACCGACGAACCTATAAAGGTCAGTACGACTGACTTAACAGCCAATGTCAGAATATCTTGAGTAATAGATTGCAGCAGTTTAAATAGGATTTTGTTCTAATCGTTGCTTGTAACTTTTTAGATTAAGATCTGCTCTCAAAACCATTAGCAGTTAAAATAGATTTTGTTCTAATCGTTGCTTATAACTTTTTAGATTAAGATCTGCTCTCAAAACCATTAGCAGTTAAAATAGATTTTGTTCTAATCGTTGCTTATAACTTTTTAGATTAAGATCTGCTCTCAAAACCATTAGCAGTTAAAATAGATTTTGTTCTAATCGTTGCTTATAACTTTTTAGATTAAGATCTGCTCTCAAAACCATTAACAGTTGAAATATATTTTGTTCTAATCGTTGCTTATAACTTTTTAGATTCAGATCTGCTCTCAAAACCATTAGCAAACATTCGCAAACGATAAATGGGGCTGTAATCATACCAGGTCCGTATTTATTTATCAACTAATTCAAAATAACGTATTTAGTTTTCGCACTGAAAGTCTGACTACAACCTTTCTTATTTACAAATAGAACATTGAAGTTCGGAAAAACTACGTTGTCTGTGTAATAAATGAGAAATATACTGGAGTGGTGTTAGTGTAATTTGTACTATGTACTGCAGGTTTTGTTTTTCATAACTACACAGTTATTCGCGAAGTCAGTTTTCCGATATTAGTGTCCTCTACTTCTCAGAGGGTAATCTGACAACTTTCTCCCTGGATAACTGCCCCGTAGGAAAATTGCCCCTACACCCAGACAACTGCCCCCCGCAACAATATCTTATTATATTAACATAACTGACTAAAATATGAAAAAAACAACAACATATTTCTTGTATTTCACAGAAGAATGAATCACCTAAAAACTTTTTAAGTACGATAAAACAACACAGGTTTCGTGTTAAATTTTGTTTATTGTAATAACATAAAAATGTTGAACTATGCAAAGTTATATAACATAAGTACATGTTTAAGTATGGTAAAACAACACAGGTTTCGTGTTAAATTTTGTTTATTGTAATAGCATAAAAATGTTGAACTATGCAAAGTTATATAACGTAAGTACATGTTTAAGTATGATAAAACAACACAGGTTTCATGTTAAATTTTGTTTATTGTAATAACATAAAAATGTTGAACTATGCAAAGTTATATAACGTAAGTTCACTAGAACTGTAAGTTATGAGCTGTTCCTCACAGAAAGTCCAATGAATTGCACTTTTGAAACTCTTCTACAATGTTTGTTATCCTGGCAGTTGCTTATTTAGATAATTCGTTATTCTATAAAATATGAGAAATATGTGTTTTTTTTATACTCAAATATAGATGTTTGTAATACCCTCTATACTCAAATATAGATGTTTGTAATACCCTCTAGACTCAAATATAGATGTTTGTAATACCCTCTATACTCAAATATAGATGTTTGTAATACCCTCTATACTCAAATATAGATGTTTGTAATACCCTCTATACTCAAATATAGATGTTTGTAATACCCTCTATACTCAAATATAGATGTTTGTAATACCCTCTATACTCAAATATAGATGTTTGTAATACCCTCTATACTCAAATATAGATGTTTGTAATTGGCTACTGGTTTATAATCGTCACTTCCAGTCAATATTTTACGAAACTGCTCGTTTCCATACTTTATCTTTTGCATTACTTAAGAATAGGCAGAAGGATGCCAATTTTGCTATGATTAGAACATAGATGAATTTTACTTTTCCAGGTTGTTAAAACGCAGGAATAGTAATTAATATTAACTCAAGCATATCCACCATTTTTCGAAAAGAAAAAGTGGGATCTTGTTAATATAGCAAGTATATAACTCTAGATTTTATGTTGGGCATTATTTTACTATTTCGTGTTATCAGCTGTTTCTTTAGTCTAGGAATCCTGTCGGTAGCAATTAAATTTGCGAAGTAATTTTATTATGTAAAACACGTAGATGCAAGTATTCGTATTAAGGCTATCACTTACCTGTTGAAGCTCTATAAGTCTGTCTGTCTGTAGCCCACAACAATCGAACTTAATATTCAAACTTTGTTTCTTAATTATCAAGATGTAGAAAGGAATATTACAAAAAAATTGAGTGTCAGTCTGTTTTACGTGTGGTTTTCCTATTTTATTATTCAGCCACTGTGTTTATCAATATGTTGTCATTGCACGAAATTGTACAGGTTTGCCTAATAGTTAAGGCAGCTCTGTATATTAATTTCAGTTTGATCTTTTTAAGCATTAATTGCACGTTCGTGATAGCATTGATTGACAACAGTCAAACAGTACAAAAGACAATTGGTTTGTTTTGAATTTTGCGCAAAGCTGTACGAGGGCTATCTGCGCTAGCTATCTCTAATTTAGTAGTGATAAAATAGAGGGAAGGCAGCTAGTAAGCACCACATAACGCCAACGTTTGTGCTACTCTCTTACCAATGAATAGTGGGGTTGACCGTTTCATTATAATGCCCCCACGGCTGAAAGAGCGAGCATGTTTGGTGTGACGGGGATTCGAACATGCGCCCCGCAGATTGCGAGTCGAGCGCCTTAACCATGCCAGACCTGAAAAACTGGAAAGATTTGGTTTGTTTTGAATTTCTCGCAAAGCTACACGAGGACTATCTGCGCTAGCCGTCCCTAATATAATAGTATAAGACTAGAGGGAAGGCAGCTAGTCATCACCACTCACCGCCAACTTTTGGGCTACTCTTTTACCAACGAATAATGGGATTGACCGTCACATTATAACGCCCCCACGGCTGAAAGGGCGAGCATGTTTGGTGTGACGGGGATTCGAACCCGCGACCCTCAGATTGCGAGTCGAGCGCCCTAACCAGTCCCAACTGGAAAGAGCTAGCATTATAATGTGAATTTGTATATACTGATGTCTGTATTTATCACAAAGTATTAAACGCTTAAAAAATAATAACTTTCTCATTGAATAATTTATATTTGCTCTTAATAGACAAACAAACAATAAAAGGTGGATTAACAAATATAGCATTAACATTAAAGGTACTGCACGACAAAATAAATAACAATGTGTAATTAAAAATAAAAAATCAATTAACTTATTTAGTCCCGTCATACACAACACATATAGTACTTGAAATGTTTGATACTTTACACTGTGATTGGCGTAATCCAACCAATCAGATAGTGCCATGTCATCATAATGCTTATAAAAGCACGGATAACAATACTTTTCCACTCTTAACTATCGCTAGCCAGCAAACCTCTTCTGTCTCCAGCTAGAAATCAGTACTCAGTTAAGGTTTTATTCAAAAATCCACGTGTGGGGAGAAGAGAAACATAAGTTTTTGAGCGACCCTGATTACCTCTCGGACCTCTTCGAGGTCTGATTGACTTTAAGTCAAAATTACTGCCAAGAGTTTCGGTTTTCCAAACAGTTGGTGATGAACGTACTTATGGATCCTAGAACAGTGTAGCAGTGAAGGTTGTTGGTGAAGCCACTTCAGCCCATAGATTGGGGCAAAATGTTACTTTCAATGTCAGTTATATAGAAACTCCGAAGAAGGCACGAGAAACTTGAAGATTATTATTCTACAACAGGGGCTGGAATGCCAACATCCCCCTTGAGCAGCCACCTTCTCACAACTGGTTGTAGATAGCAAAGGTGGAAAGGTATGGTACGGTGTGGGCTATAGCGCCCAGATCTGCTTCTTTCCTGTACGGTGTGGGCTATAGCACCCAGATCTGCTTCCTTCTTCTCTCAGGTTGTGAAGTAGGCAAAGGGGGGTTAAGTCTGGTAGACGGTGTTTCCTCACAGCTATGTGGGTCCTATTTTGCAGACACCTTCAAAACTATAGGTGCATTTTATATTTATCATGTGACTTGTACCCTGGCGCTGTGTTATGTTACTTCATTCTGTTCCTACGCATTTTGCTTTTTTCTGTAGAAGAATGTTTATTACATATTTTTATCTTATGTATGTGTATATATTATTTCTTCCTACGCATTTTGCTTTTTTCTGTAGAAGAATGTTTATTACATATTTTTATCTTATGTATGTGTATATATTATTTCTTCCTACGCATTTTGCTTTTTTCTGTAGAAGAATGTTTATTACATATTTTATCTTATGTATATGTGTATATATTATTTCTTCCTTAGTTAGGCTAAAGCCTATCAGCTGCATCAGTCCACAAATCTTTGCCATACAGATACATTCTTATTCATCTACTTCCTCAAATGTTGTTCCTCTATTTCCAACTGCTTGACTAATATTTTGTCTGAACCTCACCTTTAGTTCTCCTATGAGTCCTTTCCCGATTGGTATCCACACCATATATTTCTTTGGGTACCTCTCTTCATCCATCTGCTTGACATACCCATCATCTCAACTGGCTACTCTCTATGAACTCGATAAAAAATAAGAATATGCTTGGGTAGAATGAAGAGTTTCAAATCTGAATTTCGTCTGTTGACATAAAGTACACTGGTAAAAACCTCAGTACGAAAATTAAGGTAATACGTGTGGTTGCCGTATTAAAATAATTTCTACTTTCCACCTTTTGGAAACGACGTAATGACAGACATTATACAAATGACCCGGTATAGCTTGGTGGTTAGGGGGGTCGGCTCGCAATCTGCGGGCCGCGGGTTCGAATCCCCGTCACACCATGCTCGCCCTTTCAGCCGTGGGAGCGTTATAATGCGACGGTAAATCCCACTATTCGTTGGTAAAAGAGTAGCCCAAGAGTTGGCGGTGAGTGATGTTGACTAACTGCCTTCTTTCTAGTCTATCACTGCTAAATTAGGGACGGCTAGCGCAGATAATCCTACAAATAAATAACAGTATTAACCCTAACACGCGAAAAACATTAAAAATAACTCATCAATGCCATTCGATTTGTTTGTTTGTTTGT